GATTTAAAAAACATTGATTTTTTAATTTAATTTAGACGAAGATTTGGTAAGGAAGCTAATCAGATAACAATAGTAGTAAACCATAAAAGATTCCTTGCCAGGCTTTATTATGAAGATGTATAAATCTCTCCAAATTTCTGCAAAAAAATAACTTTTTATAAAAATATTACGCGAGATAAATTATTTAACATATTATTTGTCGCTATATTTATCACATGTCCCATCTTTCAGGCAGAATATGAATTCCTTATGGAGAGGACATTGCACTTGTTGAGATTATCTATAAAAGACTTCATTTTTTGGGTACCGCCTTAAGAATAGAGGTCTGACTCGACTAGACAATCAGTCATTAGTTGGAACCGGTGTTAGTGAGAAGGAGCCATATCTAGTGAATGCAGCACATTTTAATCGTGCCGTTGCTAACGTTTCCTGGCTTAGTTTTGCTGAACAAAATCATGATATCTCGATTGCGATTTTTGTCATATCCCGCACGTTTTACACCGCAACCGCATAAATTGCTTTTAATTGAGCTTCTTAATGGTAGCCTCGCAGTTGACTGATCCAACTTTTAAGGCACTACACTTAACTTATGTAGCCTTATAATTGGGTTATGGTTATTCGTCTTTATAGTCGATGTTTATTGTTGTTGGCATAACAGTGGGCAGCAAACTGCAGCGCTATCCTTGAAATACAGGCGAAGCACACACTCTTCCCGCAAAGTCTTGATCTACTCAAAGCTGCGCTCAAACTATGTTATTTGCGCTTCACTAAGATGACTGATATTGTTACTTGAGAACTCGCACTTTTTTGCCAATCTACACTACACTCTTGCTCTTTGCGTTCGCAAATAGCACGAATTTATTCAGCATACCAATAATATCGTTATGGTGTGTGCTTAATCGGTAAAGGTATAACACTTGCCGATTGTGCCCAGCAACCACCAGGCTGCGGCCCTTTTCCTACCTCTTTCTCTGTTCCTCATTTCTTTCCAATCCTCACCGCGTTACAGAAATAGAGAACATTCTCCGAACGGTTCGTCGTAAAATAATAAAAAAATCATGCATAGTATTATCAATAGAGATACTGGCGAAGATATATGACGGATTAGTTAATTGACATGCATGACCACAATAATTTTCTTTCTTTGTTTATTGAGATAAAAATCTCAACAATTATGTCGGAAAGAAACTTTAAGAAATATTAGAAAATTTCTGCATTTCTTTTAAGGACGCAACTGATCTGCACAAAATACTTCCTTACTTAAGTATTAAATTTAATAAAAGCTACCGGAATCTTGCATCCTTGAGGAATATTTTCACTCGTCAGTGTATGTCGAGTAACTAAGTTTAACTAATAATAAGCTTGCCAACTTTGTTTACATGCATACAAATGTATTACTATTCAAATGATGATTTTTTGTTTTCGTGCATGTTTTCTATGACATTGTTTTTTGTTATGAACTTACTTTTCATTTTACACACAAACATATATATACATATATATATATATATATATACATGATATCAATGCAATCAGATGTGTATGTGTGCGTAACTGTCATGCATAATGTGTTGGTAAAAGACGTAAGAGTCTCTTTGCATAAGGACGACGATGTGGATGCGTGGAGTGAGTTTACGGAGTCTGTTTGCACAAGTATGTGTAAATGATTGCTCTGAAGTACTAAATTACATTTGCCTGTCACTCGTCTTGGTTCCACTTTTGTTTAATGCAAAAATTTTGCAACCAACAAAAACAATAACAAAAATCATGCTATAAACGAAACTGTTAACAAATTTAAGCCAAAAAATGTTGGCAATTTATTCTATGTTACGTACTTTTTTTTTTTTATTTTTTTTTTTTGTTTGCGATTTCTTTTATTTTTATTTTATTTACGGCAAAAATACGTGAAAGTGACAAAAATAACATCATCATCATTAGTCGCCCTATCCAAGAGTTCTGGTCTGTGCAAGCTTACTCTCATTTTGGCTGCTGAAAAATCTCTCATTTTTTTTTATGCTTTAAATACACATAGGTTCACGTTTTTATGCATGCACACACACATACATATGTTTACAGAGAAAATAGCATTAAATTGCCAAACTGTATTTAATTTTTTTTTGGTTTCTTTTTTTCAACATTTAGCCTAGTTTCATAGTTGCCGGGCTAAATATGCAGTTCGCCGTATTTCTTGTGTGCAGGCAGGCGCTTTAATGTTTTGAATCCATTTACTGGTTTCTGTTTTTTGCTTGTTTTTTTTTTTTTTGGTGGAAAAATAGGAGCTTTTTATTGTGTACTTTTTTTTTTGCATTCTCTAGTTTTTGCTTTGCACATGAATGTACAGAATGGAGGAAAAAAAACAAAAAAAAAAAACTAAAGATTTGCCTTAGGACACACAGGATTCAGCATATTTTAAATCTAGATGCAATTTAATGCGTATTATGTAGTGAAAAATAAATGAACGAACTACATCGCATATGAATGAGAGTGGAACTGCATTTACGAATGTTCAGGATCCATTTTGCGCAAAATATTACCATAGTATGGCGATATGATTGTTATTAATCTAGTTCAGCCGAAGGGTGCTAGAGAGAAGACTGCTCATCCTCCCTTGTTAAAGAAAGATTATCGTTGAAACTATGCACGCGTACGCTTAAATATATGAATATGAGGGAAACCAGGAACGTCTTTTTCAGGTAGATCGCGGTAAAACCCAATAGCACGATTAGGCACTTGGGGAGAATATGAGAACGCTATAGTGCCTTGTACAGAATATCCGGTAACCAAACCAAGATGCCCTTACCCATTACCTCAGCAACTATCGCCCTAAATAGGTCATCCAAGATAATGAAAATCGTGGCTTTTTAGAGTCTAGGAAATTTATAATTTTGTTAGCAGATTACCTAGTAAAGTATTCTACGAGTCGGTTTAATTAGGTCTCAAACTAAGCATAACAAAGTTAGAGAGCACCCTCACTAACATAGTGCAAAGATTATAACGTTAGCCACACTAATTAATAAATATTTACTTTTTAGATATTTGCTAATTGTATGAAAAGCCACAAAATCTCTTAATTGATAAACGGGGCGAGCACAAGCTCAGAATTAAGCTTAAAATGTTATAATTACGATCGCCATCTTGAATTCAATATGTTTTCATGTAGAATGTAGTTAAACATATTGCGCTATTTAAGCTGATCAGCGACGTGTATGTCATTGTTGATGAATGTTGAATGATTCATTCCTTATATATATATATATATATTAGAAAAACTTGATATAGCTTTTACATCGGACATATTAGTGAAATCCGTAAGTTATCAGTTATTTGCCAAGAGTATGCTTTGTCTTGAGCTTTAGTTACCAATCGGTGAAGAGGTAACGCCTATTTCTTTACAGTGTACGGTAAAGCAGCCTATGTAGCATACACCAAAGAAAGTATAAGTTTGCTCTAAACTTCTCTGTACTACTCTCTGTAATAAAATGGCGGCGTCCATACCTTCCGAGTATCATATTTATCATTGCATGTATATGCGGAAAAAAATTTTCGATATTAAGGAGAATGTATTGAAGATCAGGAAGTGTCAGCTGGTTGGTTGGGAAGATTCGCTGCTGCTCATATCTCGTAGTGGGCGACCAATTGAATTTGATAATGACACCCTAAAATCTCTAGTGGAAGCTGTTTCAAAATTAAGTATACAAGAACTATCGAGAAGCGTTTGATCCGTATGGTCAGCTAGACACCTACAGGAAATTGAAAAGCTATATTGGGCAACAAATATGTATGTGGGATCAATTATCACAAACAAGAACAAGAATATTCATCACTCTATTCTTATACGGCATATCCGGGTGAAATTGTTACGGGAGATGAAGAACGAACTGATAACATAAGCGGCCGAGGAAATGGCTTGAAAGGCCATAACAATTATTTATCCAGCTTTTCAAGGAGGCACCTTGCGTTTTTTTTAGAGGTGGATGGAAATTTTGCAGGACAGATGGCAAACTCTTCTTGATGAATGAGGGATAATAACACAATAAATCTCTATTTCATAATTCTCTCTATTATCACAATACGATGAACACCTAAGACGTATAGGGTTTTCAAGTAAGGTCCATACATTTTTTAAATGTCATAGGGTCTATGTTTTGGAGCTCAAGAGATGCGTTCGGATCTTCACTTTCCGTAACAACAGGAAATTGCAGACGTGCTTTGAATTATGCCTCATATTATTATTATTATTATTAATTTCGCCAGAGAAATAAATTCTAAGACTAAACTCTTAAAAGCACTAGCATCTAAGGCTATCGGCTTTTTATTAAAAACTCTATGCCTCATAACGTTTATTCAAAGATAGATATTTTGAAAATTGTGGGTATGTATGCGAATATTCGCAGCATTTACAATCTACAAGCTTTAGTGACTATTGTTAGAAAGCCTGGATGGATTGACTCTTTCGGTCCTTGAAATCGTCCGGAGTGATGTTTCTTGTAATATTAATATCCAGAGCCATGGGCTAGTAGTCATGCATGTTATTAGTACAATTTCTAAGAGAATAGCGGCCCACATATTTTTTAAATGGGTTGGAAAATGTTCATCGCACAACCGCCCTGCCTAACCTTTCCAAAAGCAAAATGATAAAAGTTTATCGATCAAAACAGCATTAAATAAATGCTTAATAATAAAGTTCATTAAGACGAATTTGATGAAAAAATGTTAAAAACTTTTTTCTTTACTTGTACATATATGAGTTCGAGACTACTCGCTAACCGCGGGATCGATGAAAAGAAGAAATTTAAAATCCAATTTGCTTTTTCAAGTAATTGATTAGAGGATGTAATTGTGAATTCAATGCATAGACATAGGCCGACATAGGGACTAAAGCGATATATAAGCTCAATATATAAGCTCGTTCATACTATGTGAAAATGATTTGTACGCCGTTTAATTCTCATTTTTATTTATTGCATAATAATAATTAAATATTATATAAAAATACTCACCATATCGTCTGCATTAAAGCATTTGGTTACAACACGTCCTAGTCCTAGTCATGGGAGGCAAATAAATGCTGTAACGGTAGTTAAAATAAAAATACAATTTTAGTAAACACTCATCAGTATGATAAATAACTGAATAAATATTTAGTTAAGGAGTTTTGCTAATTCACTCTTTTGCATCTCGTTTAAATGTTCACTAAGTAGATTTTCAAAGTGTAAGAGTATTGATGCAAAATATATTCAAAGAGTGAAGGTAATAATAAATGTATTTACAATTATACAGACATTTACTCTTACATAGGGAAACGTTTCTCTAGAGACATGCGTAAGTTAGTTAGTATGTTTGTAACTCTAGTCTTTCATATTCACCTTAAACGTATAAAAACCGATGATAATGCAAAGTGTTTGTTTAGTGGCTTATTAAAGAAATGCTTACAGAGCAAGAAATATAGGTAAGCGTTTACTTTTAAATGTATAAGTTTGTACGTGTGCCTGGGTCTGTGCCTGTGTATGTATGTGTGTGTGTGTGTGTGTGTGTGTGTGTGTGTGTGTGTTTATGTTAATAGGATAATGAATCTTATGAACGTATTTAGAGAAAATAAATTTCGTTAAAATTTCATGATTTGGTTATAAATAATAAGAACGATTTACAAACCCTATGTGTTATATGTTAAGCGTTAAACACGAAACAGTTGTTGCTAGTAATGTAGTATAGTTTTATAAAAAAGGTAAATGTATCCCTATATGCAAATATATACACGTATATATACTATCGTTATTTGCTATGTTAATTTGTTGCAAGTTCAAAGAATAACGCCAGCAATGATGCAAAGATAAGGGTAAAGCTTTGCAAGAATGTCGAGGTGTGATTATACTCTATAAAGGAAATTTTCATCAGACTCAATTAGTTAAGTGTTCACGAAGGGAAGAGAACGATAAAATGATAGAACGAAAACTTGCGACAAAATCTTGCACTCAAAAGATATATATATATATATATATATATAACGTACATACATACATACATGCAATGCATAAATTATAAATTTTATTTGCATTTACAAGATGCACACACGTAAGAGTATTTAAATCTAAGTGCATCGCATAAGGTCGCGTTAACGTTATTTGTATGAGCACCTACGTAGGTAGGCAAAGCAAAGTAAAGGTAAAAATTTCTGTGTAAAATGTACTCGAATATTACGCATAGCTTGTTTGCTTGTTTATTTTTCAGTTGTGTTATTTGCTTTTCTTATTCGCTATCCGTTCCGTTGTCGGTGCAAACTGCTCGCACTAATTAGTGATACATTGAAAAACTGGTTAAGCGCTTATTCTTATATCGTTAAATACTATCGTGGAATGATTTCATTCTTTTCATGGCCTAAAATAATTAATGAAGATATGGATGCTATAGAAATTCAACGGAAATATGCAACGTATATATCAAGCATACAATCAGATCTCGTAATAATTGCAGGAAACAAATAAACGTTCTGTTGCAACGACATAATACGAATTACTCGTCATGATCATGCCTATTAACAATGACGACTATTTCTGCCTAAGCTTATCTTATATAAGTATGAATCGATGAACTATATGATACGACATTACATTACCGAGAATTTTCACTAATTATATCGACATTGTTTCCAAATTGACTGTTATCGAAAGCAAGCATTTGTGCAGCATAGATTTATCTACTTATCTAACTTATATCACTATTTTCTACTAAATCATCGCTGATTATTAGTTACACAAAAAATAATATAAAGACAAAGTACAAAATCTATAGTGGTACACAGACAACCGTCAAATACCTTACACTTCTCTACGCCGAATGGGCCGTCAAGTCTTCTGGGTGTTACGCACGCACAAACATACTAAACCTTGTATTATTTGTGATGCAATATATTATCGCTTGATTCAGAAAATGATTTCAAGCCGCAACTTTTGAGATATTTGAAGGACGAGTCCCACTGAAAATGATTCAGATCAGTCCACTTTTTCGACTATTTCCCACATAACGAATTATTTTGAAAGTTCATTCATTATATGGATAAGAAGGGAAATTTTCAAAATTTTTCGATAAAATTTGCTGTATAATATTTCGTCATTCTAACTTGGCTGGAAGGAATTGAAATGTGAATTTGAAACATCGGCGATCACACAACATACGAACAGAAGTAAACTCTTTATAGATACATTAGGTGTTTCAGTAGCAGAGAGATCCAAAAGAGATAAACTATTTCTCAATTTTAAAAGCTCATTGGAAAAGTCCTTTTAAAATTTTGAAAAATGTTTGACCAAAGCAAGTAAAAGTGAATTCTTCTACGACACCATTGATAAAAATGGATCCACAATCCATTACTAAGCATATATGCAAAGGAATGTAAATTATTGCCAAAACTTTTTCGAAGACTTTCAAGGTTTTATAAACAATACCGATATTTGAAATTTTTCCAGAATATTTGGGAGAAATTCATACGAATAGCACTGAATTGCTGGCAGAAACCACTGACTACCTTTTCAGATATATATAGATATTTGCACAATGTAAGAATGTTGTCAGAAAAACTTTCTTTTTTCTTATTCAAAACTTTATAAGAAATTAAGAACTAGTGCAGGGAAAGGAATAAGAGGTGAAGTGAACATTTAGTTATCCCTTATTGCCAGCCTTTATTTATAAGAGATAGTGTATCTTAAAGTACTTACTGAATTTTATAGAAAATTTCAATTTGGAAATCCCGTAAGCTAACTTAAAAGTCTGAACTGCTTACATATTTACCCAGAATTTATAGAAACTTTATAATGCGAACTCAGAACGTATCTATAATTGCTTCTGCTCTACGAACGAAAAGGAAAAATTCAAAATTATGATAAAGAAAATTATCTCTGTTTGCAACTCATGCCGGTGGCGTATACGTAATTCGTTTTAACTCAACTAAATATAGTATGTTTTATTTCTTTTAGTCGTTTCTTATTCTTCACTCTTTGTTACGTAAATTTTTTTTGATTGCAATTCGCAAAAAGGAAAGCGAAATAAAAATTTATAGTTAGATTTTGTTACTTATGTAAATACCTTAATATTTGCTTTAATCAACTCAAGGTGTACCGTTGACGTTTAATTTTCTCTTTTATATTTTTGTTTATGCGTTTTGCCAACAATTACGATGCAATGATATTTCCAAATGATTCCATTAAGATATGTTTTAAGGAATTTTCAATTCAATTAAATTGTTTACATTAATTGAAAGCATGTAATGCAAAGCGATAAATATTCTAAATTCAATTACGAACATTTTAATACGAATATTCCTTTTTGTACACACATATGTGTGCCAGTGGTCAATGATAACTAAAGCAGTCAAGGTAAGGTCGTGAATGATTAAATGAAGGCTATTGAGAAAACGCATCAAGAGGTTGTTTAGGTAAATGCCTGCAATGAGCCTTAATTGAAGCATTGATAAGTATGATGTTGTTAATGAAATTAAAACCAAATTTCATTGATTTAATAAAATTAATTGTTAGTTTTATGTAATAGCTTATGTATTAATTATTTGTAATAGTAGTTGTTGCCCATAATTTTTTCTCTCTCTCTCTCTCTAAACGAGAGGCCGGCCAATGATCGTTTCGAATGCTTTCAATTAATTGCGTAACAGATTTAATCGTTTAGTTTTTGTAAGTATGTGAAATTTATATAAGAAAACTAAATTGAATATAAGAACAGGTCAAGGAAAATCGATGTTGCGTTTGGCGTTGCCATTAGATTGGTTTACAGTTATGCAATAGCAGCACGATATTGTAATAATCATGATGATGATGATTGCACCAGAAAGAATGCGAAAGGTTATCGCTCCCAATTCCAAATATTTTATTTAAGAAAATTGCTTTCGAACAAGATAACTACACTGGCAGCCATTTAGCTGACTTGTACCTTGTACCTGGTTGTAGTTTCTTTTTGCACATGAAATGTACTTATGTAAGTAAGTAATGGGCCTATGGCTTTGTACACACTTAATAAACGAATAAATGAAAAATGACATGAAATCAAAATAAGACAAACTGGTATTTGAATTGTGGGGAAAAACGCTAAGAACGTTTTCATTGACTTGACATAAAGTTGTTTAAACTTTTCACTGTAGTTGTTCTTCTTTATAAACCACTAAAGTGTCGCGCTTGCTATAATTTAATAAAAATTTATATGAAATAACTTAAAATGTTATATGGATGGACAAGGTTGAACTTCAAACACCGTTCATCACTTGACAAAAAAAAAGTTATGGGAGAAGTGGTCGTACAAGTGTTGGTATCCAATCCATTTTGAAGTGTGCTTGTCCTTAAGTTAACACAGTTGAACAGAATACCTGAAGACACATCAGTTAGGTGAACAAAGGGTCCAGCTTGATGCGATTAGAAAATGTAATTATAAATCTGGAGACTAATCGTTAACTGCAATTTTTTTATAATTTCGAATAAAATTTGCTAAAAAAAAAAATTGATGGAAAAATTGCGATGATTGATAAGAAAAATGCCAACAATGGGAAAAAGTGGTGTCTGAAATAATTTAAAAAAATATTTATATAAACTATAAATATACATGAACTTAAGTAAAAGTCTCTGATATCTACATACCAAGCTGGCGGCTTACAAGATCTGCACACACTCCTTGGGAATTTTAATCTGCATATATTACATACCATGGAACAGTTTTATATTACATTCATAATGTGCATATATAATGCAAGCAGATATAGTGTCAGAGGGAAATGAGAAAGCAGTCAAGTAAGCATATGCGGCATGTAAAGTTGACAATATTTATTTACATATACATATATATTACGTGGAGAGTAATCGTAAGCATTTTTTCTTTTTTTATTTTACATTTTTCTCTTTTCTTTTTTTGTTTTGTACTTTTTTTATTTCCAGGTTGATGTCAGTATTACGACTTTAGATACTTTGTAATTTATTCAATTGCTCGCTGCATGTTGCATGCTTGGGTGCATTTGAATACGTTTATTAACATTATCAGTTTGATATATTAGGGATATATTAATCTTGTCATTCAAATTGT